GGAAAGAGGTCATTAAAGATGCTTTGGCCGTGGTTTTATTTTATTAGCCCAGTTCATAAGAGCAATATCTAGAGGCCCTGAGTTTAGATTTCCGTCTACATTAAAGACATGAGTAACACTCAGGCCTTATCTCTCTTGCTTCCACTCTTAATATGAAATCTCAGGTAAGAAATGATCTAATTGCATTATAAATAGGAAAGTTAATATTTTACCTGTCACTGAATTTCACATTTTTAATAAGAATAAAGCCAATGGCTGAATTATAGGCATTAGTCATAGGCCAGTAGAGATTTTCTTACTTTAGAAATGATACAAACATTTACATTGTATATAGATGGAGAAAATTATAGAAAAGAAGTCAGTTTTCTTAGTGTTTTTCCTAACCATTTGGGTGCGACAGTGCACAGAAGTGGGGACTCAGTGTGTGGAACAGCAGGCTATTTCTTGAAAGCTTGGATGTGAAACTAAGGACTAAATTTCCAAATGTCACAATCAAAAGCACCTTCTATAGGGATTAATTAAACTATTATTTTTTAAAACTTGAGCTTATTTAAGAATGTTGATAGTCTTGAGAAACCTATGATCAATGTTTTGCAGAATCACTTTAAACAGACATTCCTATCACTGTTTAGAAGCTAGAAAAGTATCATTTATGTTTATTCTACTTTATGGGCCCTACATGGTAAAATTAAGTTTAGTTACTTGAAATAATTTTGGTAGACTTCCCTCTGTAAATTGGTAAGCAGAAGAATTTAGTGGTTAATTCTCATACATTGGTTTTGAAAAGTCAGGCATAGCTTTAAACATTCACTTTATTTGCAGCAATTTTTCATGTAAATAATAGAATGATAAAACTGCATTCTATTCTAAGCTAGTAAATTGCACCTAAGAAATAAATTGATGAAATTGTAAGCCTTTTAATAAGGAATATAGGTTGTAGAAAATTATGCTAATATGAGATACAGAAAGTTAGAAAAATAATATTCTCAGGATTATAAGCAAATAAGCACTAAATAAGGAAAAGTTTCTGCAAATATGATATGGTAATAATAGAGTTTTGAATAAGAGAAATTCAGAAAATGGACCAGCCACTGAAAAGGCAAATATGTACCAAACAAATTTGTATTTTCATGATTATACTAAGGACAGAAGGAGCAATTTATTAAGGTTAATGCCTCAGAGCATTTAACTTCTCTACTCGTTTTCTTTAATTTTTTAAATGGAAAATAGCTGCTTCAATAGCAAAGAACATTGTAACAAGCAAGAATTTTCAAAGAATGCAACTGCTCTATGGCATTTAATTTTACTCTTGATATACTCATCTGATGCACATACAATGCCAATAAATTGGGGTAATAACAAAATCTGAAATCCAGAGGATTTCTTTTGCTTTCATAGTACAAATTTGCCCTGAAGATAGAAGGCAATCCAAATGCAAGCTTGTTTCACCCAGAAAGCAGTGTCTGCAGATTCTTGTTTCATAATAATAACCTGAAAATGAGATCACAGGAAATGTATTAGTGAATAATGGATCATCAATTGAAATTGATTAGCTAGCATAAAATCACCCCTATACATAAATCTTTCTAAGGAACAATCACCTTTAACTTGAAAAATACACATGTTTATTCTTTCAGGAGAAGAAAATGAAATATTTAAAGTATTCTGTTTGCTAGACAAATTATTTCTTCAATTCCCTAATAAACTTGCTTCAGGTTTTTAAAAAATATAGCTGTTTTTACCTTCCTTAGTGATCTTTTCTGCAACAGAAACCAAATTCCTTTTCAACTTGCAGTCGAGCTGGAGGCTAAGGGAAAAAAAAGAGACAGTGCTAGCACTTCTCCATTATAAGGCTGAGCAAAGAAACATGACAAAGTCATAGCTGCCTTTCACAGTCACAGAAAAACAGCTCTGTAGAGGCAACTGGCAAGATAGTCCTCCATTTTAAAAGGAAAGAATCATTGTAAAGCTCAACTTTTAAAAGGAAAGAATCATTGTAAATCTCAACTGGCAAGATAGTCCTCCATTTTAAAAGGAAAGAATCATTGTAAAGCTCAATCATTGTAAAGCTCTACATCAAAGTCCTTGAGTTCAAATTTTATTTCCATTTTGAGGGAGAACAGCTCAAGCGCTGGGAATTTGTATTCTTTTCCTCTTATCCAAAATCTTACTCCCTGCCACCAAAACAACAAGGACAACATGGCATGGTTGTATAATCCTTCAAATAATGTAGAGGATCTTTGTTTGACAAAGATATTTTCAAAAATTCCTGGGCCAATGTGCTACCTAACAACTAACAACTGCCACAGTTGATTGAGTCCAATGAGTTATGTATTGTAGACTCATTAGGTCTATAGCTCATTGGTGGGCCATAGAATGGTCCAGAAATGCAACTGCTTCAATCAGTTCTTTAGGGTGAATGACTTTCATGATTACTTATGACATATTTGGAACATTAGTGAGATTTAGGGTTATTAAAATTTGGTACACTAAAATTGGTTTATTATATGAACTTACCACAGGCTCTCATGCTGGATTTTAGCAGTTAATCCAGTTGCCAGATGATTGTGGGTAACAAACAGTACAAATTTCTTACATCACATATATAGATAATTGGAATAATGTAATTTTAATGAAGAAAAAATTGTGGTCAGGTCATTATCAACATTGTCTTGAACAGATCTTGATTTTCAATTGCTGCTGTCTTTGTTTAGTGTTATTTTTACCTTCTCATTAGCAATTTATTTTCAGTTAACTCTAAAAGAACAATATTTTGGGGTTAAATTTTTTCCCTATAACTAGACTTTAAGGAGTGTATACATTGTGATTCAAATAGACTCATCATATTCTTATTGCTAAAGAAGATGTATTTATACCTTCTCTAAGATTTATTTGGTCCATTAATGTAAAATTCAGTCACATGCTGGCTTCAATGCTGTTTTCCTTTGAGTTCTTTTTTTGCTTTTCACCAAAAAGTTAATTTCTTTAAATTACCGATCATGTATTTTGCACACGAATGCTTATATAACCTATTTTATTCTCATTTGTCAGAATATTTTAAAGCATAGTTAGAATAGAAGGCTCTTATGTTCTTTTCAATAAAGATCTTTTTTTTTTTTGCATTTTATAAAAATTAAGGTAAATACAACCTACCTTATTGCCAAAGGGTATGCTATATAACATACTTTCATTGTGGACACTTTCGTTACCTAGAAATACAAACCGTTACTATTTCTTTAATTATTCCCACATTTGATAGTTCATTTATTCAGCACTTTAAAAAAGTTATATATTCAAAGAGTAGGATATAGGTAAAGAGAAAAATTGCTAAAGAAATAACAGGTCATACTGAAAAGGCACTCTTGGCAAGTATACTATTAATTTCTCCTACCCGTAAAGATTGACTTAGAAAGGATACTGAGGAGTTGCTTCAGCTTAGAAACAATCCAACACCTTTGAATAATGACCTCCACTTGATTACACTTGGATTAGCCAATTGCAAAGTACGCTTTTTAAAAAAAAATTATAAGTTTCAAGTATACAGTACATTGGTTAGGCATTTATGTAGTTTATAAAACAATCCTCCTAATTGTTCTTTCTCTCCTCTGGCTCTCCACCTAGCCATTATATCAATGCTAACTGCATTCCCTATGCTGTGCTCCCTATCCCCATGACCGTCTATCAACTACTAATTTGCACTTCTTTAACCCTTCACCCCTTTCTCCCAGCTCCCCAACTCCCTTCTCCTTTGGCTATCACCAGATTGTCCTCTATATTTGAGAGTCTGTTTTTGATTAGTTTGTTCTTTTTGTTCCCTCTGGCTCCTCTTTGCCCTCTCAATATTCTGCACGCATTCCTCCCCATCACTAAAGTGAATCTTTCACTGAAGTGAATCATTCTCTCAAGCGTTATTCGATTTCATTTGCTCTGTCAATAATGCCCATTCATAAACATTGGCTCTTATTTACATATGTCATCATCAGTCTTTATAGCAATTCCCATGATAGAATTTTTATCTACATTTTACATATAAGGAAACAGAGGCCTAAAGAGTTCAAGTGACTCGTCAAAGGTCACAACTAGTAAGTTGTGAAGAGACAGGTCAATTAGAGTTCAAAGTACATGCTACTTTTACTATATAACAATGTCTCTAGCATTGCTATTCTAGAAACACCTCACAATTTATTTTGGATGTCAAGTGGTTTTGCACATAAACACAAAATCTATTTTTTAGAACTTTTACACTGACCTGCCTAATCATATTAGGTTCAAATTATATTGACATTGGTATATATGTGCTTTATTTTAGTCCCAGCTCCTTCAATAAATACCAAGGACTTACCATTTGGGTGGTGCACAATGATGAGTTTATCTAAAAGATAAAAAAAAGCACATTCTATTGAGTTTTTCTCAATATTTATTCTAAACTCTCTTCTTTTTATTATTTGACTACTTGTCTTAAAGGTGAGCATGAAATTTCGCAATCTGATTTAAAAAATACTAACCTCTATCCACTAAGTGTGAGATCCTATTTTTTATTACTTTTGTCTTTTTTCCTCCTAATGCTTGTCCCAAGGTATTATGATTATAGTTATGTTTGACACTTAATAAAAGCTTGCTATTCTGTTTTGACATTCTTATAGCTTGGACTACTCCTTTTTTTTTTCTTCTGAAATTAACATTTTCAGTAATAATTACATACAGTATCATTCAAACATTTTTAAGTGTATGTTTTTCACAAATCTGTACAGCCAGTTAGGAAAGAGAACATTTCATCTCCACAGAAAACCCCCTTGAGCTCCTTACATCCATCCTCACCCCACTATTACCCATGATGACACCTGTCCTGATTATCTCTATAGATTAGTTTTATCTAGAATTCCAGAAAAATGAAATCTGATAGCATGTACTCCATTGTGTCTAGTATCTTTCACTCAGCATAATATCTGTGAGATTCATTCATGTTGCTGTGTGTAATAGTAGGTATTCCTTTTTATTGCCAAGTAATATGAATCCACTGTATGAATATACCACAATATAATTATCTATTCTCCTATTAGACATTCATATTACTATTTTGAATTTGGCTGTAATAAATGAAACTGTTATGAAATTTGTGAACGTGTCTTTGGATGGTGATATGCTTTTATTTCTCTTGAAAAAAATATCTAGTAGGGGAATAGCTAGGCTGTACAGTAAGTCCATATTTAACTTTTCCGGAGTTGTCATAACATGTCACACTCCTATCAGCAATGCATGCAATACATGTCCAGTTGTTCCACATCCTAATCACCCAACTTTGACAATATTTTAAAATTTTAGCCGTTATACTTGTTGTATATTGATATTTAATTGTAGTTTAATTTGTTTTTTTCTAATGATTAATAATTTTAAGCATTTTTTCAAATTTTTATTGGCCATTTGTTTTTGTAAACTAAGATCGAGGTGCTAGATGTGCTCATTGATGCTGGGTGTCATTGCTTCTAGGTCCTCTCAGCAGACAGGACTAAGGAAAAAAAATGTATATATATATACATGTACAACTCTATTTCTCCATATATATTAAGAACCATGAGTTCCATTCCAATACCACAAGATTCATTCTAGGCTTCGTTCTTTCTTTAGTTGTAACTACCTTCTGTGACAATAGGAAACCTGGCTCTCATTATCCATAGTTTGTTTGTTTGTTTATTTATTATTTATTTACTCAATCCTACAATATATATAAAGTAGTTTTAAAATTGCTAAACTGTACCCCTGTAGAGAAATAAGCCCTACTAAATGAAGTATAAAATGATTTTTATGTACTTTTTTCTTTTAATTTTAGCCTTAGAATGTGTTGTTTTCTAAATTTATTTACTTATTTTTTCTAGCACCCTTCAGTGTGGTTATGTTATTTATTTGTCATACCATCAGGTTAATTTTCTTCTGCTTATATTCTATTTTCTCTTCTTCTCAACTCCATCCTTGTTTGTTGACTATTCAAAATATTAACACAGTTCTAAATGTCAGACTATGCAAAGAGGTATATATATCACAGAAGTACAGTTTTTTCATTTTGAGTAATTTTTTTCAGTTTTATTTTTTAATCAATTTGTTCTTTTTGTCTAAGTTGTTAAATGTATTGGAAAAGATTAAATTATATTTCCTTAGTATCATTTTAATGTCTGTAATATCTGTTGTAATAGCCTCATTTTAAATCCAGCTATATGTGAATCTTTTCTTCTCTTTTTTCCATGATCATTTTTGCCATGGGCTCACAATTTTAGTTATGTTTTAAAATAACTAATATTTGGTTTTGTTCATTTTTTCTATTGTTTATATCTTATTTTTTAAATCAATTTATGATCTTATCTTTGTTATTTTTTCTCTTACCTCATTTTGAATTAAGTTTGCTTTTTATTTTTCAGTTTCCTAAGGTGAAGACTTAGATCGCTGATCTTAAGCTTTTTGTCTTCTATTTTAGCTGTATTCTACAATTTTGATGTTTTTCATTATCATTCAGGTTGAAACATTTTCTTGTGATTTCTTATTTGATCTATGATTATTTTGAAATGTTGTATTTAGTTCTTAAATATTTTGAGAAATTTTTCTAATTTCTTAAGTAAATAGTAATATGTTTTTGTTGTGGTAAAAGCATATGATTTCAAAAGAATAAAGTCTTTCAGAGAACATATTCTGAAGATTTGAATCTTCTGAAATTCATTGAAACTGTTTTGATAGTCCAGCATGTTTCGTACCCTGGTCAACCTTCCATGAAAACCTTAAACAAACATGTCTTCTGAACTTTTTAAATGTCTTGTTCTACAAGTGTCAACTAGGTCAAGTTAATTGAAAGTGTTATTTAGATCTATTGCTACTGGTTTTTGTGTATTTGTTCTATCATTTAGTAAGGAAGTGGTGAAAACATCTCTGAGTACTATCAAATTTTGCTTCATGAGTTTTTATAAAACTCATAAATACATATATAATGTAAAGGACACAAATACTTAGGATTTTTATATCTTCCTAGTGAACTTCCCTTTTACAATTTTGTAATATTATCTTTTATCTCTTGTAATAATCTTTGTGTTGAAGTTTATCTTGTCTTATATTGCTATAGCCGTGCCAGCTTTCTTATGCGTAGTATTGGCATGGTAAATCTTTTACTATTCTTTACTATCAAACTATCTGTCATATATTTAAAATTTAAGTCTTTTATATAGCATAAAATTGGGTATTAGTTTTTTATCCAGTCTGAAAAGTTTGCCTTTTAAATAAAGTATTTAATTAATTTACATTTAACATAATTATTGATATGACTGAATTTAATACTACTGTCTTGCTCTTGTTTTTAACTAATCCACTTTGTTTATATTCCTTTTTGCAAACTTCCTGCTTTATTTTTGGTAAACAAAGTAGCTTTTTAATGCTTTATTTTATTTCCTCTATTAGTTTCCTATCTATCTATCATCTATGTATGTATGTATATATGTATCTATCTATCTATCTATCTAACTATCATCAATCTTTCTATCTATCTATATATCATCTATCTATCTATCATCTATCTTTCTATCTTTATATCATCATCATCATCATCTGTCTGTCTATCTATTGTCCATTTATTTATGATTGCTTTATAACTAAATTATGAATTTTAACTTATCAGAGTCTATTTAGAAACAATAATGTACCTCTTGACATTTTATGACTTATACTTGACACTTTGCACTTCCTACCTTACCTTTTTCTCTTCTTTGTACCTGATTCTTCACATTCCATACTTTGAACTTCACCATATAAAATTTTTACAATATATAATTCCATTTATCTGGATCCCTTGTCTTTGCATGGTTAACTTCATATCTTTTCCTTCTTTATATGTTATAATCTACTCCCCCTTAAGTGTAGGCTCAGCTCCAGTGAGGGCCTTAGAAAACACATTGGGCTTTCTATAGATCAAAAATGAAAAAAGCATAAAGCCCAAACTATACAAGTTCATGTCAGTAGTCAAACTGCCTGCTAAAACAAGAACCTACACTCATCTACAAATATTAAATATTAAAAAATCCCGAATATGCAACAGATTATATGTAATGTCCAGCATTCATTTTTTTTTTAAAAAAAGAAGAGGTACAAAGAAACAGGAAAATATAATTCATAGAAAAAAAAGAAACTATCAATAAGAACTGAACCTGAGATGATCCCATTGTTGACTTTCATAGACAAAGGCATCAAAGCAGCTTTGATAAATATAATTAAATTAATAAAAGATATGGTCATCAAAGAATAAATAGAGAATCTCAGCAGAAAAATTGAAACTATAAAAGAACCAAATAGGAATTGTAGAAATTAAAATTATAATAAAAGAAATAAAAAATTTATCAGATGAGTTTATCAGCAAATTGGATATAACAAAAGAGTTAATGAACTTGAAGAAAGAACAATAGAAATTATCCAATATGATAAACAGGGAAATCAAAAGACTTTGAAAAACAATGGAGCCTCAGAGACATGTAGGTCAATATAATATGATCTAGCATTAATGTAATGAGTAGCAGAGGAAAAAAGATAGAGTTTAGGGCAAAACATTTTAAAAGAAATAATGGCCCAAACTTGCCAAATTTAATATAAATCACCTCCGTACAGTTCCAATAACTTTGAAAAAAAAAAAAAGAACAAAAAAATCTACAATTAGCCTCTTAAGAGACATACATATAGACAACTATGATCAAACTACTTCAAGCCAAGATAAAGAGATATGCTTGAAAGCAGCCAGAGAAAAAAGTCACATTTCATACAGAGAAAAAAAAAAAGAATATTCACTAATTTCTTAACAGAAATAATGGAGGACTAAAGACAATATAATAATACCTTTAAAATGCTAAAAAGAAAAATGGCCATTTAGAATTATATATCCAGAGAAAATTTTCTTCAAAATTTTGTTGAATTGAAGACATTTTTAGATAAATGAAATCAGAGGATTCACAGACAGCAAAATTGTAATATAATAAATGCTAAAAATGTCATACAAGGTGAAGGGATATGAAAAACGGACACTCACATCCACACTAAGGAATGAAGAACAGTCAAAATTATACAAAGCAGGTAGATGTAAAATATTATTTATTATTATTATTATTATTATTATTGTTATTATTTTTTCTGTCTTCCATGTGGCTCTCATAGGGGCTTGGTTTTAGGTGTTGTTAGGGCTGGTCTAGAGTAGATCTTACTCTAAGTCATGGTCCTTACTTGTTACATCTCTTGGGTCACAGCAAGATTCTAGGTAATTTAACAAAGGAGACATTTCCACTCTGGCTAGGCAGGGAATCAAATATCCCGATGTGGCTTTTTCCTGGCTTTGCTCAAACTCTAGTGTCTTTACTCTGCTTTCAGTGCCCTAGAAACTGCTATCTTATATGCCTTGAGAGGTCTTGTTCTGCACTTGTATACTTCTCTCAGCCACAGACTTATGGAGGCTCTCACTCTCTTTGAGGCTACCTCTCTACACAGCTATCCCTTCAGTGACTCACCACACACATTCCAGCATCTTTAGCTGCACTGATTTCTGATCTTTTTCTCTTCAGTTCAACAGGATTGGCCTGCTTTGAACAGATTGTAGTCAGGAAATCAGTCTCTGGGAAATCAAGAGATCCACCTCATAAACTTTGCTCATCTCTGGGATTATAGCATTGGGTTACCTATGGTACACTCTCTGAAATCAATTCTTATGTTTTTAACCAGTATGAGTGTTCTATACAGTGGGAGAATTTATCTGGTACTACTTATTCCACTTTGGCTAGAAGTAGAACTAGCTGATTCCTAACTAAGACATCAATGATTAAGAGCACTGACTTTGGATTCTAACAGAAATGGGTTGTAGTGTCTAATCTGAAGACAAATTTGAACATCTTAGTTCTTCAGAGTCTCAGTTTCCCTATTTATAATTTGGAACTAATGTCTACCTCAAAACGTTATTGTAAGAAATTGATAAGGTAATCTTAAGCGTATAGTAGAGAGTCAAAAAATATTATTTACTACTACTACTATACTTAATGTTCCTTAGTAAAATTATTCATATATTTTGTAATTTTATACGTTGTCAAAATTTTGATCTTATTTCACATTAGAATGGAGGTCTGTAGAACTCAGTTTTCTGTAAATTAGTCTCATGTTTATAACCTTAATTATTTTAGGAAGTATATTTCTGTTTTAGAAAACATTTCTAAAAGAGCTTAAAGAATTCTCCATGGAAAGTAGATAACAACCTAATAATAATAGGAAAAGAAAATGAATTTTAACAGGGTGAATTTCAACAAGAAGCACTAGCTAAAAGCTATGAAACATTATTGAAAATGGAAGAGATGAATGCTTTCAAGTTTTTAATTATCTGTACAGGAGTATGGACTTTGGTCAGATAGTGAGAACATAATTTATTTTCAATTTTGGAATGTGTTGTTTATCTTTGGAGAAGATTTACCATCTTAATAATGGTTGGTTTGTATTAACATTAAAATAAGTGTCCTCCCCACCTGAAGCAACTGTTAATTATTAGCAAGAGGAATTTGCATTGCCAAAAAGCCTGCTAGCTACAAGGGAAGTCAACACAAGATTTACAATTTAAGATAATCCACATGTGGACAATTGTAAGAACTGATTATATTGCGATCATTCTACCTTATTAAAAAAGTATGACTCCTTAAAAATTTAATGGCTCATATATAAAAGAAATTGGAGCAGAATTATCTTGTTTGCAATTTACATAGAAATCAAAGGAAAAAGAAGTTACTAGCATTTATTGAATGTTCATTATGGGTCAGAGAAGGTGAACGTATTTTATATGTTAACTCATAAAACTACTTTTAGATATGTGTATAATTATTCCTGTTTTGCAGACAAGGATTAAAGACACTCTCCAGTTACACAGATGAGAAGTGATAAAATGTAGATATGAATTCAGGTGTGTTTAACTCTATAGTTCTTGTATTTTCCACTCCATCATCCTATCAGTTTTGAATAACAGGCAAATTTTACTTACCATAGACATTTTCTTCTTCAGGCCTTTTCCCAATAATGCAATCCCGTAGTTGGCGTAGTTTTTCCTAAATGAGGGAACAACCAGGAAACAGAAGTCAAGGTTTACAAATTTGTCGTGAATCAAGATGAAACATCAATAAGTATCACCAATACCACCATGACTACTTAGTACTAATTTGGCATTTACAATGTTCCAAGCGCTATCCTTGATATTTACTCAATATAACTCAATCCTTACAACTTTGTAAAGTAGATATAAAATGTCATCATCTCATTTTACACATATGGAAAATGAGATACAGAGAGGTTAAGTAACTTTCCCAAATCACACAGTTATAGATGATAGAGTTAGGATTGAAACTCAGAGCCCAATTATTTTGGGAGCTGTTTTACAAATCTAACACCTGAGGGTTCTACAGTGGCTATATGGTATCCAAAAGCAGGAGGGTGACACAGTGTCGACTTGTTGCTGCTTGAGCCCATCTCCAGCCTCTGCAATCCTTCCCAAGAATTCTAATTTACTCTAACTAGAAACTCGGCAGCAAAAGATACAAGCCTGGATTTCCCTTCTCAGCTCATTTGTCATCTTTCTTTGCTTTCCAAATATTATACATTGGACACTATTATCTTTAACCACAGTTTAAAATAAGCTAACATTCAAAATCACTTTTATGAGAAAACCTAAGTGCGGCATTTTTCCTAAGGATTTCTCTTGAGACCTAGAAACCACATTTCCTAAATAGAGAGTTGTTTTCATCACCTTAAAGATCCTCTCCTAAGAGTGAAGCAAATATTCTTTTGGTACTCAGTGATTATGAGCAGGAGTGAGGAGCATGAAAAGCAGAGTTTTTACCTTCTCAACCTTCCTGCCTTCAACTCTGGAGATTCTACGTAGGTATTCATTATTCTAGAAACTTATTATTAACTCTATGTTTGTGCCATTTTCCCTGTCAATTTCCTAAGATAATGCCTCTATTAATAATAAGATAACTTTATAGTTACCTCTGATAGATTCATTCTCATGATACAAATGAATATATTTTGTAATCTACAAAAGTAATAATGAAAAGTATATGGGATTGTGTCCTGTGTATGTTAGGAAAAAGGAGAACATTAAATTTTCTGTTGTTTTGACTGTTGTCCAGGCCCTTAGGTTAAGAACTAAAAAAATACAGGGAACAAGCTCCTTGACATTGGTTTTGGCAATAATTTTTGGACCTGATACTCAAAAGCAAAAGCAACAAAAGCAAAAGTAAACAAGCATGAGTAAGTACATCAACCTGAAAAGCTTCTGCACAGTCAAAGAAACCATCAACAAAAGGTAACCTACAGAATGAGAGAAAATATTTGAAAATCAGATGTCCGATAAGAAGTTAATTTCCAAAATCTATATAGAACTCATACAATTCATTAGCGAAAAATCAAACAATCTGGTTAAAAAATGGGCAGAGACACTAAATAGACATTTTTCCAAAAAGGACATACAAATGACCAATAGGTACATGAAAAAGTTCTGAACATCACTAATTATCAGGGAAATTCAAATCAAAAGCACAATGAGCTATCACCTCATGTGCGTTAGAATGGCTATTGAAAAGACAGATAAGCAGATAACAAATGTTTATAGAAAAGGGAACCCTGGGCACTGTTGGGAATGTAAATTGGTGCAGCTACTATAGAAAATAGTATGTAGGTCCCTGAAAAACTGAAAATAGAAATACCATATGATCCAGCAATCCCACTGTGGAGTATATATCCAAAAGAAGTGAAAACAGGATATTGATGATATATCTGCACTCCCATGTTCACTGCAGCATTATTCACTTTAGCCAAGATATGGAAACAACCCAGGTGTTCATCAATGGGTGAACGGATAAAGAACATAGATATATACACAATGGAACACTGTTCAGCCATGAAGAAGAAGGAAATCCTGCCATTTGTGACAATATGGATGGAACTTGAGGGCATTAAGATCATCAGAAAAAGACAAATACTGTATGATATCACTCATACGTGGAATCTAACAACTTAAAAATAGAAACAGAGAGCAGAATGGTGGTTGCCAGGGACTGGGGGGTGGGAGAAAAGAAGAGATGTTGGTCAAAGTGTACAAACTTTCAGTTATAAGATAAATAAGTTCTGGGGCTCTAACGTGCAGCATGGTGATTATAGTAGACACTACTGTTATTATATACTTGAAAGTTGCTAAGTAAGTAGATATTAAATGTTCTCACCACAAAAAATAAATGGTAATTATGTGACACATGGGAATGTTAGCTAGCACTATGGTGGTGACCATTTTGCAATATATAAGTAAATCGACACTTTGAACTCCTTAAATTTACACAATGCTACATGTCAATTATATTTAAACAAAGATGAAAAAAAAAGTGGAAAAGGACTGACCGACACCTCAAACAATATTCAGAGTTACTAAACTTTTGGCTGTCACGGAAAGTAGCCTTAGTGCCTGTTTTTGCATTTACAGGTTAAATTTGTTTTGTTTTGTATCAACACTAACCATATTCATTATCCTATTGTCCCTAAATATTAGATAAGTAAAATCAGTCTTGAAGTAGTGAGTATGGACCATCTTAAATTCTTTCTAAAACAATATTGAATATAAATAAATACACAAACAAAATAGAAATACCCCAGGGTTTAATAAAACAACCAGCAAAATCTTTCCAAGAAAATATTTCGGTGGATTACTCTAAATTATAAACGATTACTGAACAGTCTAAGAGGATACAATGCAACAAAATTTATATAATCTGGCATTGCTAGAAAAGTGATTTATACATCTGCACTTAAGCACATTATATCCATTTCAGGATAAGAGGGATGTTTGATGGCGATGGCATGGATTGAGAAGCAATGTAATTCTGAAGATGAACAGCGATCAGTTGCAGAACTCTACAATTAGCATTCTTTTGCATTTGTTTGGCAAAATAACTGCCCTTGCCTAGCACTGCAAAATCTGGACTATGTCTAGTGACCAACCCACAGCCAGAGCTGCCCTTAGAGATAGGTGGTTCAAGGAGTCCTCTCAGATGTACTGGGAGAGTCCCCTCGCTTAAACTATCTCCTGCCTATAGGCCACATTGTTTAAATTTCACCATGAGGACTAACTTTTCTGTTGTTTAAAAATATTTTCCAAAGCATCGTTTTTAAATAAAAAAACGATTTCTTGGGAAAGATAGCACAGTGAGCTACTAATGATTATGTATACATTAGCCTAAGCCAGGTAATTAAATGTTTCATCAAATAGCTGCCTGACAACTGGTTTCTAAGGCCCTTGGGCTTTAAATGATGGGAAGACAAAAACTGTTGGAATGTTCTGAGAGTAGAAAGACCCATGAGATATGTAGAATGAGGCTCTGATACCCCTCAGTGACGAATGTCACAGAGTGTATATGGCATATTTTGTTTTCATTCTCATTTCTGAACCACCTACTTCAAATTACCTCTCAGGACATAAATTATATTTATAGAAGACAAGCCTAATTTATCTGAAGTTAATGCTCTTGGTGTCATTTCTCTACAGAATATATATATAAAGAGGAAGAGAAAATAATACTTATTACATTTTATTTAGTACTATTGTTTGATAAGATTTCAATAATTTTCTTTTTTCTTTGTTTGGTCTACATTGGCCTACATAATATACTCTTTGGAATGCAGAGCCTGTGTTAGTATAAAGATGCTTCACCTTACTTTCAACAATAAAACTCATTAAACATTCACTACACTAAGGACAGCCTTGTAAGGAAGTTATGTATTAGCTCTGAAATGCTGGGTCCCAGCATTGAGTTCAACAATGGTTTGTTAAATAAAGTCTGGATACTTTCAAATTTTCAATTGTTTGTTTGAAAAACATCTTTGTGTATGTGTGTGTGTGTGTGTGTGTGTGTGTCTATTTAAAAACAAAAAAAATAGTTACCTGTATTTCTTATGTAGACTAAACATTTACAAAGAAGCTAGGAGCTCTGCAAGTGAGGGAATGTTTCAGAAAGGACTGGGGTCAGCATTACCTGCTGAATCACTTCCAGGCCGGTCTTTCCTATCTGCCAGTGTTTAAACTTCTCTAGGGCTTGATCCACAGATAGTTTCCCATTCTTCACTTTCTCCTGCAGGAGGATGAGTTCTTTCTGTCCATCAGCCAGGTAGCTCCTCCTGGTGGAAAAGGCTTGATTCTCCATCCGAGCTCTGTCTGCAATATGAGGGGAGGGTATTTTAACAAGAAGTCAATCTATAACAACTGAATACAAAAAGCACTCTAAGAAATAAGCAGCTTGAGTTTCTCGTTCTTACCAGTCTGTGAGTAGTTATAGAATAAATCATAGAAATTTTTTAATGAGTTTATTTCTAAGGATGGTTGTGCCTAGTACCTAGTGTTATGGGCGAAAAAGATGTGTCTCATCACTGAAAAACATAAAGGGACAAGGAGAAAAAGAGCAGAAACAAAAGTTCCGCATTGCGCTAGCTGTGGGCACTGCCAATTACATGTTCTTTTGTGAGGATTACTTTTAATAATGTGAGTAAAATACTTAGCACAGTGCCAGCCACATTGTAGGCTAAATAAATGCTAACATTATTATTAATAATAAATATTTGTAGAATAACATAATCTCTTTCGCTCTGGGAAAAGAGATGTCAACCCATATCCAAACATTGTGAGAGGTTTAGAATTATTGAAAGTTTATTCCTGAAATATATAAAGTAAATAATTGCCAGTCATTTTGTAATAAATTGATTCCTTTTCAAAAGAGTATATTATTGAAGCATGCCATGTATTATTTGCTCAGCAGAATGAAAACACTGGGTGGCCCAATTTCTCATGTGTGGCTGCTAATGCTTCCCAAGAGACTGGCCTGAAGTATAGTGGTAATAAGTTGTAGACCGTGGGTGAATTCAGTGTTTTATTTGTGTCACATGGTGTTTAAAGACATACATGAACCCTCTGGATGCCTTTAGGGATGCTACATGCTCTCCTGGCTACTCCAATCCCTGTCACTCCTGATAGTCACTGGATGACATCTCACTGGTGCTACCTGCTTGGCTGCCAAACTCATTTTAGTCTGAACCTTCTCATTTATATAGTTCTATTAAGTCTAACATACTTACTGTATAATCTCAGGAGGGACTGGCAACTCAGCAGCAGCAGCACATGTCTTATGCACTGTCAGTTCTAAATATGTCTGACTCTAGAAGGAGAGAATAGGTAGTCCTGCTCAAGTGTGCTAAGGAGTTGTCCCTGGAGACATCACTTCTTACTGGAGTCCCTTCTTCAAGAAAGAAATAGGTCAACTAGACCATATCCAGAGAAGATGAGGACTGGGGAAATGGGGAGAGTATTCAAATTTTATAGTAATAAGGATTCTCGGATAGTGTTAGGATTGGCTAGTCTGGAAAAGAGACGTTTCAAGTACCTGATAGCAAGTTTAAGTATGTGAAGGGGACTTGAGCCTTGGGACTGTCTTGGAATGACCTCTGATGTTGCTCACAGTTTTGAAGAGGATTCTAACAGGGAATCTTGGAACAGGGACAAAGAAAGGGTTCCTTCCTGGAAGATTCATATGCACATAAAACTGCTACATGGCCAATCATGCTGATTCCCATGGAGGTTTCTTGGCTTACTTTTTCTCTTCAGAAGTCATATTCCCCCAGAACCAACAAGATGTCAACAGATTCTGTACTCTAAAGCTCTTCCTTCAGGGATGATGGAGCATGAAATCTCAGGGAA